ACCACTTAGGCAAGAGCTCTCCTGTGTAAAACAAACAAACAAACAAACAAACAAACAAACAAACAAATAAATAAATAATCTGTGCTATATTAGTGGTGTTAAAAAGTAAAGCATCACCAATGTGCCTGTGTACCCCTGGAGACGAGGTAGCAGGAGCAGAACCATGCTGACAGGCTTCCAGTTAAATAGGCTGTGGATGTACAGGTAAAGTATGATTTATTCATGAGGTCTGGGGAAACCCATCGAAACACAGATTTAGCTTTAACACTATAAGCAGGGACAACAAAATTGATGAATAAATGGAATAGTGTTTAGGGTAGGAGAGGAGAGCTGAAGCAATTGAATATCAACCATGGAAAGGGAGGTGTGACCAGTAGCTGTGAAGGTAATGAAAAAAAGTATGAGAAAATGCATGGCACTCAGATGAATAACTGCTGGTGGCTCCCACTGAAATATTATACAGAAGCGAAATGAAACACAGACTGCAGCTGTAAATAGAGACATCTTAGTTATCCACTCCCCCTCCCTCTCAGTGTCCCCGGCACAAAACCCCCACACACTCCCAACACTACTCTCTCTAAAGGCAACATCACTGAGCAGACATACAGCTAGGCAAAGGAGCTCCAGGAATTTGGACAGAATCATGCTTGAGGTGCGCAAGGCTTAATATAAGCTGATCGGTAACCAAAGCACGTCCACATCTCTCTTCTGCTTCCATGTGATCTGTCGACCCTCAGAGACTGCATTCTTTTCAGTGTTTTTTTTTCCCCAAATGTTCTCACACAAGGACATGAATCAGTTACAGAACTCATGATTTCTTTAGGAAGTGAAACTGTAGCTATACTCGAGTAGGTTACACTCTTAACATTCTTATGCCTGATCCTATAATTTGTAAACAAGCAGTAGTATTGGAGAACAGCATTCTTTGCCATCAAGAGCAGGTAATACGAATGCCACGCAGCCATTTAAAAGCAAACCCTTTGAAATTACACAATTATTTACTGGTAGTAATTAATGACAGATATGGAATTTTATATCTCCTCTGCACACATTGAATACACATTAGTGATGTAAATCAGCACCCTTACAACACGCCACTGGATGATCTGCTAAACTGTTATGTTACAGACTAAGATTTCATTTATATTTATAGAGCATCACGATGGATTCTATCAGCTTATTTGGAAATGAAAATTTAGTATAGCATGGCATCAAGATACAACAATTTGGATTAGTAGTCAGAAACTATTGAAATCTTTGCTATTAAGAGGATTATGAAACTATTCTATTCTTTAGACAATAGAGCAGCACGTTCATGCTATCTGTTCTTCGCACTGAATAATTTCTGAATGATGTTAGTCTCTGGTTTGATCCTGATCTTAGGTTACTGTCTGTGTAGTGTTTTGCATGTTCTGCCTGTATTCATGTAGAATTCTGGGTTCTCTGATTTCTTGCCACCTCACAAAACTTGCCAGTGGGTGGATTGGCAACTCTAAATTGCCCCTAGGTGTGAATGTGTGTGCAAATGTGTGTGCATGGTGCCTTGAGACGGAATGGCATGCTAACCAGGGTATATTCCTGTCTCAGCACTGTTTTCGGGATAGGCTCTGGATTCACTGCAACCCTGGACAGGATCAAGCAGATACTGAATGAATGAATGAATGAATGAATGAATGAATGTTACTGCAATTTATTTGACATGTAGGCTACACAGACTTGTATAAGTCTACCCAAAACATATCCAACCCAGAAACAACAACAACAACAACAACAACAAGAAGTCAACAGGAAAGAAACTTTGGAGGCACTCCTGGTAAATAAGATAAAAGATAAAACAGGTGACAGTTGGCAATATTGGTCTGCCACTATCTGCAGAGACCAGAGATGACCCTGAAGCAACTGTCAAATAATTGTGACATTTAACTGGAAAAAAAATATGTTTTTTTTTAATCATCAGGAAGCAGTGATTTACTAAATACAACCTGCAAAGGCAGCTACTGTGGTATGACCCTGCATTCTGTTCATAAATAAATAAATAAATAAATAAATAAATAAATAAATAAATAAAAATCTCCTGCAGTCAATTAGTTATATGATATAGGAATCCTGTATTTTTATGCATATAAATAGTCCTACATTTTATTATGAACATTTATTATGAACATTTTATTATGAATATTTATTATTACTGTTACAGGAAGGCTATCACCCTTAATAACCACCCGTTATAACCGTGGTGGGCAGAAAAGCATCTCAGAATGCACAACACTGAAAACTTTAAGGCAGATGGGCTACAACAGCAGAACAACGTATCAGATTCCAAGAACAGGAATCTGAGGCGCCAGTGGGCATAAGCTCCCAGAAACTGGACAGCTGATAGTTAACCTTCTGTGGTCTAACCTTCCTTTTGTGTACACTTGTGTATATCCTGAGCCATGGTCAGAGAGAGTATTGTTGGAATAGCTGCTCTGTCGGCGTTGTAAATCAGGGTGAGGGACGAGTTACTGACCTTTTGCTTGAGAGTACTTGTTTGACAACTAAATTATGTTTGTCAAAGGCATAAGTTTTATATGCATTTCTGACCCCTATCCAACAAGTTTTTTTTTAAGCGTAGAAACAAACCGTTATACCTACAGGATAGCAAAAATGTAAAAACTATTTCAATATCATGTAGTACTCTTTGCTCAGACTCTTAATTCAGGCCTACCCAACAGCCAGGAGTGTGTTTCCCAAAGGTTGCTTAAATATGTTGATAAGTTATGCTGGCCTACTTATGTACAATACGTATGATCTTCATACTGTATATTGTAAGCAGTAGGTTGAAGTGCACTGAATGTACTTTCATTGTTAAACCTAGTTCCTACTGTTACTATTATATCTTTGACGTGCCCTTAAAATAAAAACACATCCACTGTGGAGACTAAGAAATGCTTAATATGTAACACTAATATCCAGCATAAAAAAAAAACAAAAAAACATTGCAGACCATCACAAAAGTATTATGTCCTGAGCATGGTCTATAACCAAATGACTCTGGGGACGGGAGTATGGTGCATGAATGGTAGAGGGAGTAAACAAGAGAGAGGGAATATGTTCATGACAATAATGTGTGGGGTGTTAATACTTTTACATTACCTTGATGTACGGTGTATGTGATAAACTGCATCGAGCTTTCAGTAACCTTTCTGCAGCCAGTTATTTAATGAGGCTACGCAAATAGCTACAGATTTACATTCTGTCCTTAACCATGTTCAGAGAGAATATTGTTGGAATAGCTGCCCTGTCAGTGCTGTAAATCAGGGTAAGGGAGAAGTTGCTGACCTTTTGTGTGAGAGTATTTGTTTGACTAAAAAATTGGGTTAATGTCTGAGATTTCTGTGCATTTATGAGCCCTATCTAACAGCATATTTTGAAAATAGTGTTGGACCAAACCATTACCCTTATGGGATAGCAAAAATATATGAGCTGTTACACTATTACATTAGTACTCATAACTGTTGCTTTTTTGTACTGCACACTTAGCTTATACTCTTAACTCAGGGATGCCAAGCTCAAGTAAGTGGTTTGGCATTCTAATTACCAAAAAAGTGTTTCCCGAAAGAATAGCTCTCTAACAATGTTGAAAAGTTATGTTGACCTGTCATTAGCTTTGGTTTTTTTCAAAAGCTATGCTAGTTATGTATGTATGGTGCAGTATTTGAAATAAATTCCATCATATAATCATCTTTCCCTAGAATGTCCTCAACAAGTTGGTGCAGGTGCCAAGGGAGACTTGGACCATATTGGACTTTGAGCCAAAGTTCAAATCTACCAGGCAAGTATGGTGTGTGAATATTGGCATTGACATGCAGGCAGAAACTGCATAAGCTCTAGTTACAAAGCATGGTTATTTTTGACTACCAGCTTGCTATAACATGAACTATTGGTGCAATCCAACATAAGTGTAGAAGGAATACAGAATAAAAAGCTGTGAATTAAGAGGAAGCCAGCAAAATTAGAAGGCTCTACAATAAACTGAGCATGGTATATTGAGAGAAAACCACTCAACCATGCTAGCAATGTGTTAGTCACAAGCCTGCTAGGTGGCTAGTGGGGGGAAACAATTGAATGGAATATTCAAAGGAGAAAATGGAGGGGGAGTTACCAAATTAAAGAGAAAGAGAAGAGTTTTAAGTGTCACTCACCATATGGTAAATGAATGAAAGCAAACAGAGCATGGCAAGTGACTAGTTAAATGCAAAGCAGTAACAGCAAAAGCTATTGAGGGAAAAAAACAACTTCAGGCTCATGGACAGTATGGAACACTTATCAGAAAAATGTTCATAATATGAAATAGAAGAAAGCACACTCAGTAATAAAGAACAGAATGAGAGGAGGCTATCTTCAGCTTTAGGGAACTGGTCACCTGTAGCTTTGAAAGCTGCTGTGACTTGACATGCACATAGAAGAAGAAGAAAGAGAAAGATGTGTTTTTGATAGAGAATGCAAAGCACTTCTGTAAGTCTCTCTGGATAAGGACATTGGCTAAATAATGTAAATGTAAATCTGTTTGATGGTGGCAATTATTGCAAATATTGCATCATACATCATCATTTCACGAACTTGCATACACACAAGGTATTTCATACTGACCCTGCTGGTTAGGAGGAGTTAAACAGGACCATAATTTGAATGTTTCTAACTATATAAAAAATGTTTAATAGTCTTTTCTACGTATGTTTTTTTTAACATTTCAGGCTATTCTGATACATTTGGATAGTGCTTCAGGTAAAAAAAAAAAACGTTTAGGTGTAAATTTTTAATTTAAATCAAAATGTTAAATGTAAATTTTAATTGTAAATGTTAAGTGTAAATATTAAATATAAATGTAAATGTTAAATGTAGATGTTAATGTATCTTTCATATATTAATTGCCCCTGCCCTCTCAGATTTTTGTGCTATTGGGAAAAGACAGCTCCAGCAGGGTTGCCATGTCGCTATATTTAAGCACTTCTGTGCTAGTTTTGGAGGACTAGTGGTTAGGCCACAGCACTCTTACCGCTGCGGCCTGGGTTCGATTCCCGGCTAGGGAACTGACCCCAGCCACTGGGGTTGCGTGCAACAGTGCGCTCTCAGTGCCGGTCCTGAGCCCGGATAAAATTGGGGAGAGTTGCGTCAGGAAGGGCATCCAGCGTAAAAACTGTGCCAAATCAAATATGTGGACCAATGATCTGCTGTGGTGACCCCTAACGGGAGCAGCTGAAAGAGGCTTCTTGTGCTAGTTTTGGAGCAAGGTTGAGAGTGTAAGCAGAAAAGTCTGCTCATGGCAGTTTTTAGGCTGGTTTAAAAACTGCCAAGAACTTGTTTTAAAACTAATTAATTGGAATTAATTAAATCAATTTCTGCAAGCATATGCAAACAACGGGAAAATTTCACTGCTGACAGTGTAGGTGCCGCTCTACGTGTAGATCCTAATATTAACTTCGTCTATGAAATTATAGACTTAGGGAAGTCGGTAAATGTAATAGTAGCTAGCTAGACAAGTAGGTACAGTATATATGCTTTATGCACTGTATACCTTCTTCTCTACATCTGTATGTCTGTAGTTTCATAGATTAAACTACTTACTGGGTGACACCAAGGTCCCAAATGAGTGCCCTGAACCACAACCCAAAAAAACGCCACCCTCAGGCTTGCTTTCTACACCTACAAACTTGTTCCAAAACTAGCACAAAATGGCTTAACAATAGCAACAAAGGCAACCCTGCAAGTGCTGGTTTTTCCCACTCAGAGGGCATGTTTTTTAGGCTATTTTATGTATCCCTACTTATATTCAATAAGCCATGCAGACAAAACAAAGATGGAGAGAAAACTACAGAGCAGGGGTAGTAAAATAAAAACTATAATACAGTAAAGTCATATTAGTCATATTAAATTATCTTTTGAGAACAAAAAAAAATTTATATTTTGTTGGTCCAGTTGTGCTGCATTTCTAGGCCTGAAGGATGTTTGTCTTTCTTGTTGGAGACTGTCACAGACATGGCGGTCTCAAGTGGTGTGCGGAGTCCAGGGCAGTATTTTTGTTGCAGGACAAAATTAATATATGTCTGGTGTATGCATATAAATAAGCTAAGGAACCAAATATAATCAGCACCTGAATGACAGCATAACACCTAATCTTCAGCTCAGAGTTTAGCAGCAAAAGCAGCATAACTAGTGAGCACATGGAAAATTAAAATACACACACAGAGTAAGTATGGATGCCTATATGCCTAGATCTATAATGTAGGCTTAAATGGTAAGTGAATTTGATGTACCTGCTATTGAAATGGAAATATATGCAGTCCCTGGGGAAATCTTGCCGTTTGGGTATGGAATTGCACATTTTACTTTCAATCTTTTTTTTTTTAATAAAAAAGAGAAAAGGCTCATAATTATGCAGGTATGAGCATGAGATTGAATAAGTGTATACATAAATAGGATTGAGGACCATAGACAAGACATGTCTTTCCACTAATGTTGCCACAACATTTAATAGATCTTAATTTTAAGCATTAGAATTAAATGAGTGAAAATACATATAAAATATACTTCACACACAGCAGAGCAGCCAGCAGGTGATTACTGATTTTATTGTTGCTCTTGCCCCATCCCAAAGCAGCATGGCGATGTAGCTTACAGCAGGTTATGGTCGCTGAACTGCTGGGTGTTGAGGTGTTGCTCTGAAAACAATGTGAGCTTTATAGCCTTGAGGGCAAGGCTGGCCTTTTGGGGCGGGACCATGTCCATCCCACTCGGGAAGGTGCTGCTCTCATTTCTTGCAGCATAGCACATAGTCTCAGAACAGGCCCAGTTAATCGGTGACAAACCAGTGCCAAGGCCAGGGAGCAGACAAGCAGGCTAAACCGACCGTCGCACAAAAACTTATTCATAAATCCAACGCATTTGAAGTTCTTTATATTATCATAACATACGTAGCCACTAAAAATAAGTCTACCAAGGTGATTCCACTAATTATTATTTATAGACCCCCATGGCCATATTCGGAATTCCTATGTGAATTTGTAGATTTCATCTCTAACCTGGTTGTTTCCTTAGACAAAGCATTAATTGTTGGAGACTTTAATATTCATTTTGATAATCCTCCTGATAAACAGCAGTTGTGTCCATTCTTGATTCAGTAGGGGTTAATCAGAATGTAATAGGACCCACTCAAAGTGGTGGTCACACTCTTGATCTAATACTAACATTCGGTTATAGTCTCATTTCCACAGTCTGAAGCTATCTCAGATCATTACCTCATCTCATTTAAAATGTGTCTTAATCATAATATATGCACCTTGCCACGTCACCTCATCAAATATACTTTCACATCAACAACTGCACAGAGTTTTACCAGTAATCTCCCAGATTTATCAACCATGACTGGATCACGGTCTGATCCTGAAGAACTTGACCAGGTAACTGAATGCTTAGAATCAACGTTCTGCTACTCGCTAAATAAGGTAGATCCACTTAAAAGAAAAATAATTAGAGAGAAAAAGCTAGCACACTGGAATAGCAATCACACATGAACTTTAAAACAGACCACTCGAAAACTAGAACGTAAATGGCGTCAACTACATCGGTAGTATTTCAAATAGCATTGAAGGTGAGCCTTTGAGGTATAGAAAAACTCTTAGTGGTGCTAGATCAATGTATCTCTCCACCCTAATTGAAGATAACAAAAATAATCCTAGATTCTTATTTAATACTGTAGCAAAATTAACTAGGAATAAGACCACAATAGAAACAATCATTATATAGCAGTGATGACTTCATGAATTTTTTTCAATGGTAAAATTGAAAATATCAGGAAAAAATTTCAGACTATTAATGTAAAACCGGACAGTTTTACCCTGTAGATTAACCCTATAGATAATAATATAATAATATCACATCAACAATTACAATGTTTTACTCCCCTTTGAGAGACCGAACTAATTTCATCATCAAAATCATCAACCTGTATACTAAATCCTTTACCTACACGTTTCTCCAAACATATAATTCCTGAAACCTGTCAAACCTCTCTTAAAATAATCAATTCTTCCCTTAGCATTGGCTATGTACCTAAATCTTTTAAACTAGCAGTTATCAAGCCCTTGAGTAAAAAACCTGACCTTGACCCCTGTCAGCTGTCTAACTATAGACCAATATCAAACCTCCCTTTATCTCCAAGATCCTAGAAAAGGTTGTAGCACAGCAGGTATGCTCATACTTGCATAGGAATAACGTTCATGAAATGTATCAGTCAGGATTTAGGCCTCATCATAGCCCAGAGACAGCACTGGTTAAAGTGGTAAATGACTTACTACTGGCCTCTGATCAGGGTTGTGTCTCCTTGCTTGTGCTGCTTCACCTTAGTGCAGCTTTTGATACCACTGATCATGCTATTCACCTTGATAGGCTAGAAAATGTAGTAGGCATTAAGGGAACGGCCCTCTCCTGGCTCAGGTCTTATTTGACTGAACGTTATCAGTTTGTAAACGTAAATGGTGACTTCTCTACGCATACTAAGGTAAAGTTTGGTTTCCCACAAGGCCCTGTTTTAGGCCCACTGCTCTTTTCTTTATATATGCTACCTCTGGGCAAAATTATTTGTAAACATAGTATTAGCTTCCACTGTTACGTTGATGACACTTTCTCTTACTTAGTTCTGACAAGACAGAAATATTTTTACTAGGACCACATGCAGTTAGAAGTAAGCTTTCTGATAACCTAATAACTCTGGATGGCCTTTCTGTTTCATCATGTGCAGCAGTAAAAGACCTTGGTGTAATTATCAACTCAAGTCTTTCATTTGAAGCTCATGTAGATAATATCCCTAGGATCGCTTTCTTTCATCTCAGAAATATTGCTAAAATAAGAAATATATTGTCACTACATGATGCAAAAAAATTTGTTCATGCTTTTGTTACCTCTGTTTTGGATTATTGTAATGCCTTGCTGTCTGGATGCTCTAGTCAATCCATTAACAAGCTCCAGTTAGTCCAGAATGCAGCAGCAAGAGTCCTTACTCGAACCAGAAGATATGTCCACATCACCCCTATCTTATCCACACTGCATTTGCTCCCAATCAAATTTTGTATTGATTATAAAATACTACTATTGACCTATAAAGCACTAAATGGTCTTGTGCCACAGTACCTGTGCAAACTTTTGGTCTTTTATGATCCACCACACCTACTTAGATCAAAAGGTGCAGGTTATTTGTTGGTAACTCGAATAGTGCGTGCTACAGCTGGGGGTAGAGCTTACTCTTACAAAGCCCCAAAGTTATGGAACAGCCTTCCAATTAGTGTTCGGGGCTCAGACACAGTCTCAGTGTTTAAGCTGAAAACATATTTTAGTCAAGCCTTTTGTGAATAGTTTTTTCTTAGGTAAAGGGGCAGGTCTGGAGGGTTCACAGGCATAGAGTGTTGTGGTACATTGGGATGTTTGGATGCTGTCACCCCCACACTCTCACACGTTCACTCAGGTTTACCAACAGTGGAGTGGCTGGCTGCCTTATGTCCCAGGGTGCCCTCATGTCTGTGTTAGCTTCTGGCTCTCCCTTTTAGTTATGCTGTCATAGCTAGTTTTGCCGGAGTCCCTGCTTGCACTCTGCACGCAAAGTATATTTTCCTTAACCATTAGAGGACAAAAGCTTACCTAACAATCTCTCCCTCTCTCTCTCCCTCTGTCGAGCTACACATGCTACTTCTGAGATGCCAGTGATCCTGACCCCTTATGCTCTCCGGACCTGCCTGACTCATCCTGATGCCCTACTTCTGGTTGGAGTTCTCATCGGTTGAGTTTGCTCGCTGCTGCTGGGGGTGGCCCCATATGGCCTGAGGAACCATTTGGATTGCTGGGGATGGTGCCACCTGGGGGCTGTGGAGATGGCTTGGGGATTACATATGGGGAGCTGTACTGTGATGGTTTGGGACTGCGATTGCTGTGGTGGCTTTGGGGCTGCAGTTGCCATAAGCACAGTCGTACCCAGGACTCCATCAGTGGACAGTGGATAGATTTTAACCAACTGGACTTCTTGTGAAAACTGTGATGAATT